GATCAGCTTAGTGTCAGTCTACCCTGTCTGAGTAGGATGTGTACGTTACTACGGCGTGATATCTCAGCACTATTAAACCGGCAATAGTCCGAACTAGTACAGGCTTTCACACACATACTCACATCCACGCACATGCACATACGCACATACAGACGCACAACCTCGTGCATGCACGTTACATATAACTGCAAAAACTGTACATATATTGCTGAATCTGTACATAAACTGTTTCAGATAATTAGTAGAGATTCTTCATTACTACTTATTATAGTCATAAGACTTCTTTGCTTGATTATCTGCTGATGATTAAAGTGATTTATTACATAGTGTTTACTTTTACCATCTGCATCTAACAATAAGTATACCAATTGTCACCATGTCCATGCTCATATACTACATAAAGTTGGAAAAAAGGTAATATGTCAAATAATGTTCATCTGTTGCAATAGCGAAAGACAATATTGCGTGAAGAAATGTTTTAATGGACAAAAGTATGTCGTCAAGTGCCTCACAATGCCAACAAACAGGTAAACATGTGACCACTAATCAGTCAGACCACCCGTCAAAATGAGAGTGTCTGACCAAAACTGAAACTCAAAAAAATCACGAAATCAAGTTCATGGTCCTAAAAGCACGAATCTCATTAGCGCGTATGTGATCCACGTGATGCGATCACTTGTCTACGATAGGGTTAAGGTCTGATGACGCAAAATGCGTAGATCGTGACCAGACACCAGCCTCAAGGAGACGATAACGCACTGTCTGAGTAAACATTTAACCACCACTGGGGTTCTACAGGTCATTTCTGAGTGTAGTGGCAGCCACAAAGTGATGTTTTGCTGCAATCAAGAGAAACCTGTTCCTCTGTGTGTGGTGGAACGCGATCGACCACCTGCATGTCGCTGGGCAGCTGATCCAAACGTCTTGTATCGATTCCCTGCCCTGCTGATCCCACTTTGGCCGACACCAAAGTCGTTTGCAACTTGACGTGTTGACCTATTTTCAAGCATGCCTTTGCAGTTGCCTAATTCTTTGGTAGTCAAACGACGTCTTTGAAGCTGAGAAGGCATTCAGTTGTTGCAATCCTCAGTAGCAAATGTTTTTGTTGTCGCTGATAATGATGTGCAGCGATTCTGTCACGATACATTGTACCATTGACTGCAAGCTTCTGTCCGTTCATTATAAAAGTGAGGTCGTAAAGGGGCCACCCAATCATTGTGATAATACTGTTACCCATACATTTGGATATTTTTATCTTTATTTGTTGTTGGATTTTATATATCATCTAAACGTGATCTTTAGCAAACGTTGAGTAGTATAACATGCATGTACTTAACTCAGATGGTGAGAACAAAAGCTTTATGTGGGCCCACCAAGCAGATGTAATTATCGATAACATTATTGATTGATATGTGCGTATATTTTGAACATGAATGTTCGTTTAGAATAGGTAGAATAGGTAAATTTCTGTACTTGACACATCATTTTGTTTAGGGTTTAGATCTTTCCAATATCTATCTCATTCATGTTAAGGAAATTGGTTGTAAAAGTTTTTTAAGATCGATTTATTATGCGTGTTAGTGACACACTGTTCGTATCTGAGACATGCGGGCCACCCATGAAGACATGAACTTTAATGAGTCACTGGATGAGATTACTATGTTCTCTGAAATACAAGTAACCTCTATCAACGTGGTTTTGATTGTGCATGTCTAGTGTATTCTAGTCATGTTGTGTGTATTCTAGTCATGTTGTGTGTATTCTAGTCATGTTGTGTGTATTTTAGTCATGTCGTGTGTATTCTAGTCATGTTGTGTTATTTCTAGTCATGTGTGTATGCTAGTCATATGTGTATAAGATAATGTATTACATTATCATCATGGTCCAAAGGAAGAAACAAAAAACACCTGCTCCGATTTCTGTTTAGCTTTCCACCCAAGCCTACATCGTGCAGACACTCCCATAGCTGAAGGTGATTAACTGAATGAAACGCTTTTTTTAAATCCACAAAAGCAACGTATACTTTCCTTTTTCTTTTCGATAAACATTGTTTAACAATTGCATTCAACGTAAACATGTAATCAGCAGGAGAATATCCCTGTCTAAAGCTTGCTTGTGTCTCGGGTAGTTAACTTCTTATATTAGCCCAGTTTGTAAGTTTTGAGTTTAAGACACCTGTGCAAACCTTACTAATTGTACACAATAGAGATACCCTCTAAAGTTATCTGGATTATTTTTGTTACCTTTCTAATGTAGTGGACCATGACGCCCCCTTGTGGTTACACATGTGCAATGACTGAACTGAATTAATGCTGACAATGATGACAATGCTTTTGTCGATCACTTTGTCTAATTTCATTTGATTGTGTTCACGCATATTCTGTGCAGATACTTTTACATCCGCTTAATAAATATCCTTATTTTTTAACTATGCGTTTCTTTTTTGAAGAGTGTGCATCAGACGTTAACCACATTGGTTAAACCAACCACCCACAATAGGGATAGGGATTCGAACCAACGGTCATAGGTTTCTGGCAGGTCTAAACACTGCTATGTTCTTCAATTATAAGGCGACAATGATCGTCGAGAAAGGCGACATTCATGATATCAATCACTGGATGGCCCGATGACTCGAATAGTTACAGAACGCCGCCATATAGCTGTAATTTTGCAGAGCGCAGCGTTGAATAACAAACAAAATCCTCAAGTATAGCAAACGTTTGGGTATAGATCAATACAACAAACGCCCTCTACATTTCATGTTTATCCAGAGTTGTTTATCAGGCATAATTGTGCTCAAAATAACAAGAACAAAGTAACATGAAACATATTGAGAATAAATATAAACCTTCACATATTTTCTAGACCATTACAACAAGCCAATAACGCGAGTGACTTGGGTGTGAGAGAGAGTTGAGTTATAACAGGAAGAAAACATCGTTTTGACATTAGTGCTGCCTCAACCATATGTTATTGTCAAATCGAAATTAGATTTGAAATACAACTTATTTACATTCACGGTTATTACGACTTGGGGGTAAATCCATAAAATTCACAATATTGATCAATAATAATATATGTTTTCCCTTCAGATGCCAGCTAGTAACAGCACACGATTAGTGTTATTTGATTTATCCAAGATTGTAACTTTGAAAAGGACGTTATGTGGACGACCTAAATATTTTATCTGCCACAATTTATTATCATACTATTTCCGTATAATCACGCGTTTCCTTCTGGCAAATCTCAACAGGTCACTGGATAGCGTCACCATCAGCCGGAATACCGCGCTTTTGTTGTGGAATACCCTTTTACATACGACGGCCAAAGGCCATAACTAGATATTCAGCTTGATATTTGCAAAACTGGTAATTTGAGTGAGAGGGAACTATTAAGTATTTTTCAAAGGCACCTCCTATATTCAGAAAGGGTTTTCAGACATTTCAGCAGCTGGCATCAGCACTGCAATTTGACATTTTCTATTTGACATTGGTACTTTGCTTTCTAATGTATATGGATATATACCAATGAAGTAATCCTGAAGTCATATATTCAGATGTTGCACTATCCGTGACATGGTGCGTACATCTTTTCTTAGATTTGGTTGTTTTCGTTCTGTATAACATCATACGGTGACTTGTCGTTCTCTCTGGTGAAGTCATTCAATTCTGTATAGTCTTGATCTTTCACATCGGAAGTGGGCGCATGAGTAGACATCTCTCCAGTGTGTGGCGTGTCCGTCTTTCTCAACTCTTGAGGGTCTGTGGTAGTTGTGGGAATCCATTTCAGTCGAAAACAAAAATTGTGGTAGAAGTATGATACATGACTATTGACTAGATGCTGTTTGTTCCACAAGCAAAGAAAACAATGTCAATAATCTGTTATTTAATATCATACAAAACTAAGTAATGAAGGCGTTACCTTCCAGCCTTCAGCAGACATATCATCAGCCCACCAATCAGCAACAGCATTACAGCAATTCCTCCTGCTCCCCCAATGACGCCGATTGTGACAGGAGATACTGGATTAGATACAAAGTCACTTTAGTCCGGTTTTTTTGTGAATGAATATATAATCACCATATGACAACGTAAACAATTACATGGAATATATAACATGTGTTTGATGATAGATGTGCAGAGATCAAACGTCATCAATACATGGTGACAGGACTATAATTGATATTTTCTTATTCGTAAACCTCATATTTTTGGGGAAAAACGACTAAAAAGTATTCAAACCCCTGACATCCACATCACATCGGTCTCCGGTGAAGCCGTCCAGACATTCTCCCGGACAGCGTCCATCTCCATCATTACACGTGACGTCACAGTGTCCACAACGAGAACAGTCACGCCCATAGGTTCCAGGCTTGCATTCTGAAGGTGGTTAGGTGTTCAGTTATGAAATGATATGATTAAGAAGTTAGTTTACATATTCTAGTTTCGATATAACATTTTTATTGATATGTCTGCTGAAGGTTGTACTAACAACCACCACATATGTATATTAATATAACCTGTGTGGTTATTTTAAGACTTTATTACAAATAAAGGTTGGGTTTAAGGAAACATTACTCTGGGTACAGTCTGTTCCGATCCATCCTTCCCGACATCCTGCGGCGCAGGTCCCTGTCTCGTGATCACAGGCGACCCGTGCAGTTTCACAATGACGTGAATCACAAGACTTGCTGCAGTTGGGACCATACTTCCCGCTCGGACATGCTTTAAGATCAGTAAATTTGATAATCATCTTACATGTACACGTATCTTTGTTTCGCGAGGAGAAAGGTTAGAGAAAAAATGCAACTGGTTAAATATTTCAGTAAAAATGATTTTCAAGAGGGAGATTTGCCTTATCAGTATGTGGGGTGAGTAATTAACTGTTAAAATATTTAATATCAATCTAAATTTAATTCAACTCAATTTAATGTCACGGTTTGGAACAAACTGGCACTATTTGCACAAGTTAATCAAAAACATTCTCAAACTAATTCTCACGTATCCTGCAGTCAACATTCGTCCAGCCATCCCGGCATCCATCGGTGCAGGAACCAGTGACATCGCACAAAGGTGATGGCGTTTCACAGTTGCGGGAATTGCAGAACTGAGTGCATCCTGGTCCATACCTTCCTGGAGGGCAGTTTGCTAGCACTGCACCAACGAACTTAGTTTTAGCATTTGGAATTATAATAATATTCATTGCAACAGTCAAAACGAAAAGAATCAGTCAAATCACATCTTTGACTACATTTAAATCAAAAACAGTACATATTTAATACTGAACAATATAAATATAATGTCAAATGTTGAATCATATAATAGCATATATATGTCAGTTTAGATGTAAACTAGTTTATTTGATTCACGATTTCCTTACGACTTTTGGAACCCTTAGACTGGAATTTTTTTAATATTGTCTGACAACACAAAATTGAAAGAAAATTCAAATGAGATCAGGAAGTACCACAAAAGGGTCTGTTAAACAGTGGTAGAATGAAGGATTAGGCGATTACTGTTTGCCTTGTTAGGAGTTAGTTTAACCACGACAAGAATATTTTCCTCGCCAAAATATTTCTTTTTCAAAATATACAGATACCATAGTTTTCAGATTTGTAGTAAAATAAAGCCTGTGTCACCTTGCACACTGAAGATCCGATGTGCATGTTCTATTAAGTTTAATGGTTACTTGAATGTTGTTCCTATTGACAACGGAAGATTCTTTTCAACGCAATAGTAATATATGGTTTTGTTTGTTTGTGTGTTTGTTGTTTAACGCCGCTCTCAGCTACATGACGGCGGTCTTCAAATAATCGAGTCTGGACAAGACAATCCAGTGACTGACATCATGAACATCGATCCACGCAATTGGGATCGATGACATGCATCAACCAAGTCAGCGAGCCTGACCACCCGATCCCGTTAGTCGCCTCTTACTTCAAACATAGACACTTTTAACGTCAAGGATGGGTTGCTGAAGATCTATTCTGCCCAGATCTTCATGAGATACATGTATCGACACACAACGATGGACTCTTATGAAAATGAACAAATTGATAACCCATATACATATGGTGAGACTGCTGCAATGCATTATATCACGGTAAATATCTGAACAAGAATTTGACGAGGTTGCGAAGTTGTGTTCACAACATGAATCGATAACTTCTATAAACAGTACGTGCATATAGCGACGTTTTGATGTAGATTCTGACACGGTTATGAAGCTGGGGTATCTCCCTCAGCCTTCATCACGGTTGATGTTTGGAGCGTTTGATGTTGATGGCTTCTTGGAGTTTTCAGGATTCCTCACGAAGAGAAGTTAAAGTGATGACGTCAGGTGTGCCGGGAACAATGTAACATATTCTTGCCCACCAGCAGCACCCGTCCCGAGTGAAGGCCTGAGTCAATGATGGTCTGAGAGACATCTTACAACCCTTGGACATGCTTTTTCAGAATTAACTTTATCCTTGAGATATATTATTGTTTATGTGGACCATATTCAGGGTTGCGTGGATACCTGCAGTACTTAAGTGTCATTTGAACCCACATTCAAACTACATACAGCTATTGGTTTGTCTCCTCAGGGTGCGACTTACAAGTTCGTTTGAGAGACTATTTGCACATTGTGCATGATGACTTCCAAAGTAAATTAATTCCTGAGTGTCATTTTGATCATATTTAATTGGGTATTACTTATTACGAAAATATAAGCGTATCATGTCCCAGCGCTGGCACACGTCACAAACACATGTAAAGACAAGTCAATTGTTGAACTGAAAGGAACACCAAAATATATGTTCCATGTCAAATTAATCGTACATCCAATTCTTGTGTTGACCTAACTAAATGTAGGGAGTGTCATACAGACAACAGGTACGGTGATGTTCTGTAACTTACTTCTGGAGCAATCTGTCTCTGTCCATCTATCTTCACACCCACCAGGGCACTGTCCTGTCACTCTGTCACATGTGGAGGAGGGTGTCTTGCAGTGTCGGGAACTGCAGCTGCTGGCACAGTTAGGGCCGTACATCATACTGGTACACGCTGAATAGGGCAAAGGTGAAACTGGTGTTAGTTTGAAAGTAATTCATTAAGAGTTCTCCTAGCTGCAGATATGATTGAAATTATAACACGTGTAATGTAAATTACATTAAACAAACTGTCAATCATTTTGGAAGAAAAACATTACCCAGCCTTCAATTAGTTAATATCATAAACTGACAATTAATTCAAAGTTAACCGAAATATGTTTTTAGACCTAAACACAATTTACGTTAATGGATTGATTTACAGGTTCCAGCATAGTTCGACGTTACGTAGCTAGTTAGATCTCGTCGCAAATTTGTTGGGTTTTGGACGATGCTGCACTGTAAATGATTTCATGGATCCCACTTTCACTGCATAAGAAGCATGATACCTGGTCACATAGGGATACACAAAGGCGACCATGGCACAATAAGGTCACCTGTCAACGTTTGTCGTGTGAGAATATCACACCTGACACGCAAGCAGGTGTGAATAATTCCACGACACATCAACAGGAAAAACAAAGCAATCACTATTGTTTATTATATTATTATGGTGCAGGGTGACTTACTTCTAGAGCAGTCTATTTTGCTCCATCCATCTTCACACCCACCAAGACACTGTCCTGTCGCTCTGTCACATGTAGAGGAGGGTGTCTTACAGTGTCGGGAACTGCAGTTACTGGCACAGTTAGGGCCGTACATCATACTGGTACACGCTGAATAAGGCATAAGTGAAACTGGTGTAAGTTTAAAAGTAATTCATAAAGAGTTCTCCTAGCTGCAGACATGATTGAAATTATAACACCTGTAATGTAAATTACAAACTGCCACTCATTTTGGAACGTAAACATTACACATTTTTCGATTAGTCGATATCATAAACTGACGATCAATACAAAGTATATGGAAACATGTTTTTAGTACCAAACACAATTCACGTTGACAGAATGATTTAGAGGTTCCAATATTGTTCGATGTAACGTAGCTTGTTACAGCTCGTCGCAAATTGCTGCCTTTTGGCGATGCTGCACGCGTAAAAGGATTTCATTGATCAAACTTTCACTGCACAAGAAGCATGATACCTGGTCACATAGGGATATAATAAGGCCACTATAGCACAATAAGGTAATCAGTCAACAGTGAAACGCTCAAGAAGGCGACAAGGCTACCCGCTTTACATCGAGGGAGAGCAATTTGTGTTTTGAACTTGGGGACAATAATCAACTTTTCAACGATTTTCAGCAGATTCATGCGGCGTGACAGGGTGAATAGAAGGACCGCAGGCAGGCCATGATCTGGAAGACTCCGTCACAACCATGGAAGACTGCTGTCTTCTATCCTTACACCTAGGTAACAGGTTCCTCAATATAAAATTATCTTATGTGACTGCTCTTTGGCGTACAAGTTGTTTTGTGGTTGTTCAACGCCCCACTCAGCCAAATTACAGCCGTACGATAGCGGTTTGTAAATAATCAAGCCTGGACCAGACAATCAAGTGAGTGACATGGTCATAAGCATCGATAAACGGCATAGGGACAAGATCCCGAGGCAACCCCGACTTCAGCGACGTCGTGTGTACGCATGCATAATTTGACAATTGAGGACAGACACGCTAGTGAGTTATTGATATGTATTAAGTGACAGATATTATCGTGTTTATTCACGCTTCTTCATGAGTGTTGTTTTGTAAATTCCCCCATGTTTATGAACCGCGATGTTGCCATTTGATTATTGTATATAGCAGCATTTCTATCTCGTCAAATGATTATATTTTCCAAATTCAACGTTTGAACTATATTTCGTTTGTGATAATTTTACCATTTCCGAAAACTGATAAGAAAACTTTCATCCATCCTCAGTTTATATCACTGGACTGAGTTCAATGAACTCTGAAGTGAAATGCTTAAATCACCACCATAAACTTTTACCAATACAAAACATTCATGAAATGCGTTAAGAAACACATGAATCAATATGCCTACTTTGGAAACAGTCAGTTCCAATGAAACCACTTTCACACCCATCAGGACACCTGCCAGTCACGTGATCACATGTGTCAGATGGTGTCTTACAGCGACGATTCCTGCAGTACTTGCCACATCCTTCTCCATATCTCCCAGGATCACAGACTGAAAGAGATGATGGGCAATGTGTTTACTTCGCTAAATTCGCTACATTCTCCATAGTTACAAAGGTATATATATTTTAGCATTTCCGAATTTACATTATTTATGATAACAGAGCTATTTCGTAAGCTTGGATTGGCATAAGAGAGGCCAAACATCAATACAAACTTTTTTTCTTTTTACAAACATAAACGTTTATATATTCACTAAATTTCAATGTGAGATGACTCCATGAGAAGACAACAAAACGGAATAAGTCTTGTAATTTAAATCAACAGTCCTTGATATGACTCAGTGTCGTCAGCCTAACGAACCAAAGACTTGTTGCTTCCAAGCAATACGGATGCGTGTATGAATTGTATATATAACTTTCAGTCAGCAGTCTGTATTTCATCCGAATTTAAACTTTAGCGGTATTCAGCCGTAGCGTTATTACACTGTTATCTCGTGATGTGATAATGCTATGACGAATTAATGAAGCGTTGCTTCACGTTGTGTATCAAAACGTGGCTTTTGACATTTGGCCGAATGAGCTATAAACCCCGGTGATTTCAGGAAACGAAATATTCGAAATTATGGGCAATTAATATACATTTTCAAAAATAATCCGTAGGAGCTGAGACAAATATTATGTATAATGTGTTATGATATGTTAAGGCGACTATTCGTGTCGTAAGAGGCGACTAACAGGACCGGGTGGTCAGACTCGCTAATGATGCATGTCATAACATCCCCATTGCGTATATCGGTGCTCTTGGTGTCAATCACTGGATGTATGGTATGATTTACTGAGCACCGTCATAAAGATGGAATATTGCTATATAAATTCTTTAATCTTCATATCTGAGTAAGAAAGTGACATAATGTACAATATATCTTGACGATAATTTTAGTTTGTTTTATACGCATTCAGACATATACATGGTGATGACTCATCTATAAACACAAAGCATTTATTAAATCAATTAAATCTGATTTGAATAAACATTACCTTGAGTACAGTCTGTTCCCTGATATCCAGCCGCACATCCACCAACACACAGTCCCATGACGTCACAGCTGGAGTCCGACTTGCAGTGTCTTGCAGCACAGGATTGGTCACAGTTTGATTCATAATACCCAGAAGCGCATGCTAGTAAATAGGAACGTCATATTGTGATCTACATACTTACCTGGATCTCTTCCTTCAATGACGGTTATTGCATAATTGGTTGTAGTTTTCTTGATAATATTCAGATTTTCGTGCTGGACTATCTATCAGTCATCTCTTAATATCACCTTTAAGTAAAGTGTACGTGTAATAATGATTGTTTATTTAATGTGATACACAGGACCAACGGTAATGATTATGGACATTGTGTCCAATATTTGATTCAAAAGTGTTTTATTTACTCATCCCTGAAGTTTGTAACATTATGCAACATGGCGGTAGGTCAACATGTGAAAAAGGTCACATGTATAAAGTGTGGCACTTGCTCTAATAACAAACTATGGAGTTACCACAACTAGGCTAGGGTCAATATACCACCACACCGGTACACATCGGTTCCCCATGGCAATACAATATATATACAGTCTCCGGTAGTATCGAATAAATATAGATACCTTTACAGACACCATGAGAACACAAGTACAAATGTTCAAGTATTATGTGCAGAACAAACTTCATGTATCCCTACAGGTGATAAATTTGGTCAAAGACAATTTGAAATTACTATATATGATGACTTGCAATTTATATTGTCTTTCCTTATCCGTTACATACTGTTTTACATGCAGATATTTTCTTGTAAACCAAACGTGAAATAGCAGTGCAATCATTTTTACACGCGTTTTTTTCCCGAACTACCGATGATTCGCTTAGAAAATACCCAACAATAAAGCTTAAATAATTTTGATGCAATGACCCTAAGAATTCTTTCTGAAACTGTTATTTTATAATTATAATGAATAATATGTTCCAGCATCATGTCATATATAACTATATACATTTAAAATACAAATAACCTATTGTCAGTAATATTTTAAGTATGGAACAATTTGACCAGTCATGGTCGAGGCTCCCGCGCTGTATATAACGGTGGATGTCCCAGTCGGCTAAGGCGCCGCAATTCGCTGTGCAGAGTTGCGTCCCTTGGGCACGCCAGAAACCTATGATTGTAGGTTCGAATCCCGGTTCGCCCCAATTATGTTTTTGGGTTTGTCAGCACCATACCCGTGCTCGTGGGTTTCACCGAAGTGATAAACGTCCGAGACCTGCATCACTTTGGGCTTTCCTCCCACATTAAGCTGACACGCCGTGATATAACTGGAATAGTGTTAAAAGCGGCGTTAAGCCCAACTCACTCACTCACTCACTGTCGTCAAGGTGTCATAGGTCATGACATTCACCTTGATCTACTAACACCTTGTTATACTCAATTTCACAATAGTCTGTTTTGTTCATATTTTTACACACTTTTACGTGTAAAAAGACATTTGTGCCAAGGCCCAAGTAGTACTAATTGAGTTGTATGAATATTTATATATTTCAATAAATATACTAATTCACGCCCAACAGGATACTTACTCCACACCTGTACTTCAACAAAGTCTAACATAGGACCATATCCATCATTATCAGTCTCTGTGTATCCAGTCAGGTAGCGCCAGGCCCCGGGACAGGTGACATTCAGCACATCAGGGATGTCTGTACCGTTAGCACGTCCTGTTACACTGTGACATAGATTTCCTTCTTTGGGATCAGAGGAATTTGTCATTGATGTGTAGAGCTGCACGCCATTACGTCTTGACTTGTCTGAAACAAGTATAAATATATACTTTACTTACTGTAGGACATACTCATTAATGAAACTGTACTGTCTTCTCAAAACGTGATTAGCAGTCATCAGTTTACCGATCCAACACTAAGGCACAGTCTTGTAAAATATTGGACAAAATTGAGATCCAAAATTTAAAAGTTTATTACTTCTGCGCACTTCTGTGTGCATGGATGTATTTGATAAAAGGCTGCAACAAAACAAAACAAAGGAATAACTCCTTATGCAATAAGGAAAACACACATGAACGTGGGCACTTATACTACCGTGTGGTAGACTATAAGTTTAAACAATCTGAATTATCCCAGCGTAGCATTTATACTGAAAGAAGTGTCCGAGCAATCATTAAGCTTCAGTGAACAACTATAAAAAACTACGTGGAGATTTAAGTGCGCATCATAGAATTTACACCTGGTCTCTCGGCTTTTTCCTTTAGAATACAGTACCACAATCCTTACAATCACAATACCCTATGACGTAATTTGTAGAATATTGTTGCCACTCACACCGGCGAAACAATGCGAGGTCACGTCAGGGGTCATCGTGTATGCATAAGCTCCTCCCAGTGATCTATCACCTCCAGACGCAATGTCATTGAATGTTCCCAGCGGTGTTGAGAGTTTTGAATATTTGTTTAAATACAGCCTGAGGGGGAGCATTTTAGAGCAAGCGCTAGTTTACTAAAGCACTTGTATTTTTATGTATATTTTTTATTCCATTTTTCTCGTAATTCAAGTCGAAATATGGTTATAAATGGGAACTAATATACATGTATTATTTTTTCGGTTCATTGATTTTCGTTTGGCACAAGAATGCAGTTTATTAGGGATATTATATTGGCGCTGAACACTATCCCCGAACTCTATCCTTAGCCCTTGGATCCCCTTACGATCAATCACCCCTTTACGATCATAAGGGTTAGGTACCCGTTTAGTGGCTTTTATAGATTGTATAGCGGCTCCTAATATTCTTCAAACAAAAACGTCGAGGAAAAAGGATGAAATGGTTTTGTGTCGCATATTTTGGCTTCTGGAAACTGACGTCCTGGAACACTCACACAAGCCACTTTCACTGGCTACATTTTGTTCAGTACTGATTCAAAAGCAAGCTTACCGTTGTGTCGTCGCTCGCCATACTCATTCCTTCATTCCATACTTACTTTTATCCACATCATCCTTACCGTGGTCCCTAACACACTTTTCTGTCATAAAAATCACCCGACGAATTATTAAATACCATATCATTCATGCGCACTCGCGAGTTTGACATCTCACGTCTAACGCCTGGAGCCGTTTTCAGTTCGCACCATATCAGCTTATTCCTAACCAAATGGTATCTTGTAGATTACTGAATGGGACGAGTGTGCCAAATGGCATCGGGATCGGTCGAAAGTGTCCGCAGGCTAAAGTCACGAGACACCATCCCTACCCGTAACCTTCGTAAGTGTCCGTCAACTATTCGACCCCTTTCGCTCATTTCCGTAACGTCATAGGCATGACTAGGTAAATTTGCACTAAGTTTTACAGTGTGGACGTAGCTCAGTCGGTAATCTGTCGGGCTAAAAATCCGAAGGTCGCATGTTCGTGTCCGACGGATTCGAATTCTCACTAAAACTGGTTGCGTGTCTTTGAGACATGTGACCTACGGCAGAGATCGTCTTCACTTAAAGGTTCTCCGGTTTCTGATGCTACATTATGCTAGAATTTTCACACACTAAATAAACACAAATTACAACATAAGTTAAAAACATATCTTAAGTGTTCATAACGATATGATTAATAATCGTACACTATGGATGGCTAAAGGTCGCCTTGATGTAGCAAGCAATGCTAAAAACCAATGTGGGGAACCCACACCCACGGGACCAATGTCGCTGTTGCGACAGACGAACGTTCTAAAACTAGCACTTACGGTCCAAAGCGAAGCGCATGATTGAGTACCACTTAATAAAATATCACTGTTACGTGTAACGGCACAGAAACATAACCGTACATGCTATGCTGTGTGTTCATATTCAGTTTGGATAAGCAGGTCAGAATTATATTTAGAAACCATTGCGTCCAGCTATAGCATTGAAGGTCGTGTCACAGTATATGTTGCCGATATTTCAGTGCCTTGAGTATTTCCAACAATTGTATGTCACACACTTGCTTGATCAATGACGGTTCTGTGTTGAGCTGTGTGCCGTTGCGTTGTGTGTTTTGTGCTGAAGAACATTTGAATTTGTTTTATAAACATTTACGGATACGTGTTAAGTGTAATCCAGCTAAATATCCAGCATGTGTAAGTGAACAGGTTAAAAAATCACGAAAGAAAACTACGATGGGGATACAAATACAATATGTACTATAATGTAAACATACCAAGGAACAAATGACAAAGAATGTGTTTTCTTGGAGAATGTTTAAAAGAGTAAACAGTCAAACCTGAATTGATTATAATGCCTGTATTAAGTCCTCTTCCAACAAGCAAATAATTAGCGGACATAGCCGAGTGTCTGCTTCATGCACAACTCCATATCATGGCTTTATTAACACATCACATCAACAGATTGGATATAATTTCACCATGTGGTGTGGTTAAAAATGCATTTCAGATTATAATATAGCGTGGCGACGATTTATCAAATGGATATGTAAATTTGTTATTTACCTTGATGAATTTCTAAATTACCTCGACTTATTCTACTGGGTAGACCATGAATCGATTAGACGGATGAAGGTTCCTTCGAGCATATTCAAAAAGTAAATGCCATAGAAAAAGTAGTCACGTCTATCTGCAGAAACGGATTTCATGAGGCGTAAAACGGAAAATAGTGAAAAATTGAAATTGTAAAAATAAAAATCAGTGATGACACCAGGTGTTTACGAAAAGTGCAAGCACGTCTTCTTGATTTACCGCCACTCACAGAATGATCCTTGAAACAATATTTGACAGTGAGTCAGGTGGGGTGAAACTCAATGAGAAGGTTACATTAAGGGGATAGCATAGCGCATCGTGCTGACACGCGATGTGTCATTTTAGTCCATGTGTACTGACTGTCTGGAATGACTTTACCAGGCTTCCGACGGTGAAACCTTCATTGAAAAGATTAGCAGTGAACGTGATGTCTTTTTCCGTGAAATATGTAAGAAATGTACATGCTCAAAAGAATTGAAGCAGTTTGATGAGAAACGTAAGCATAAGCTGGAGCTGATGGTATATTACTAGACATTAAATAGGCCAAAAGCTTAATTTGGAATTGTGGTTGGATTTGGATTCCATTGGGGTCAGGTTTCTAATGTAATGATAATTACATGTCATGTCGTTCCAGAAACCATTTTTGAATGTGTTTACTAAATGTGATTAAAATAAAATACGTAAATAGTCTATACATACAGAATGTACTAAAGTACAGGGTAACCAGTGCTGACTGTACTTGTGTTTGTAGATCCACCTTCCACCAGGCGCTTAGTTCACCCGGCTTGGTGACGGCTGAGTATTTGTAGTCGTGTGCAAGAGTTACTCCATCGACAGCGGTACTGGCGGGTTGAGTCAGCTCCCAGACTGAACTCATCCATGCGGGTTTGTTCTCAGCAACGTTTGTTCCAGTGCCTGAGGCACAAGAAAAATGGTAAATCAGAATATGAAAGATGATAACAGCAGGTGATTCTAGCAATGATAACAACATGAACAGCTGTTGTTCATTAGTATGTAATTATTGTAAAGATGCATTTTGATCACTATCATTTACTATTAAGCCCTAAAACAACTGACTTGAAACAGTCATCTCTGCAAACAATGTGTGAAGAATCAAACGATTTCATGAACAATAACTTTTAACACGTCTCAACGTGTCATGGTACTGCAAAATGTTAAGCTTCATTTTATATATTTTCTTTATGTCCATCAACGATACGTGTTCACCTCCTTGGTTCAGTATGTCATTAATATTTCTTTGTTTGAAATGTGCTTCTGTTGCCCCGCAGTATGAATGTGGTTGTTTACCCTCTTGCGCCTAACAGACGGGTTGGGTTGTACACTTCCCAGGGAGCTGAGAATGATTCTTGACTGGTGTGGTTTGAAACATGCACAATATAAATAGCCTTTTATTATTTTAACAAAATGGTGTCTTGGGAAGAAACTATATGTGCAACCTCACAATACCGAACCACATAACAATATTTGTATATATTTAACTTTAAACACATTATAAATGTTACATACCAGAGCAGGGTGATTTCGTTTATTCCATTTATAACAAAAACTCTTCTCAGTCCACAATAAATATTTTCTTTAACTATCTCATTTATAAACACTTCCGTCGGGACACCGGGTTTAAAAAAAGGTCCATAATGGTCGTAAGAGGCGACTAAATGGATCGAGTCGTCAGGCTCGTGATTTGGTTGATCGCGTGTCATCGTACTCCGACGTCGTGGATCGTTGTACGTACAGGCCGACGTTATATAGCTGGACAGTTGCTGTGTAATATGTGTTATGACAAATGTAAAATAGGCCTCAGCAAGTACCATTATTCAAACTGCTAATGGTTATATACCCCGCTAGTTTGCCTTTTACACAAATGGAACCTGTTTCGGCGGTTTATGAAGACTATCATAATCCTTGGTTATTTCCAACAATATGTCCCATGTATTATAAAGAACTGTTTAACACTTGCAATATCCGTCGGTAATACATCCACTAGAGATAGCTTACGTCTAGTTAAAAACAAACGTTTAACGAAATCCTATGAAAGCAATTTAACATGGTGGTCTTTCCAAAAAGAACGAGCGGAAGACAAACATATTACCATATGTTACACCTCCATAACGAAAATCTGTCGGTGATTAATTTAATATGTCATGTAACCTATCCTCATTAAAAGATAGATTAAACCCCATGACATTTAGTAACTATCTAGAGAGTCCACTGGTCGTATATGATCATAAACGTCCCTTCTCAATGCAGTGGGACAGCCATTCCTCTATTTCACCCTTCAATCAAGACGTAATTGTCTTATTCAACAGTACAACAATTTCTGAATAAGGTTTGATGTATTAAACACTGGTGATCTGCAATCCATATAAACGAATTTGCTCTTGTCAATAAAGCGACAGAGCCGTTTCCATGTCCCTTTTCTTGTTAAGACACTTGATTGATGTCTCATTGTCACCTCTGCTTATAGGTCCTGAGAGTCATAAAACTAATTCTCACTGTGATCATTAAACGCTGCAGGACATCCGTACCCTTTTCACCAACACCTTGTTTCATCACTGATTTACAGAGGTCCAGTCATGTCATTTTCACAGCTCTTTGCCCTTTACGCCAATTGGCGCATGCATACTTATTCACATAATGCATACAAATATAGTTCCATTCAATGAACTGTAATTCAAGTGAATGTACAGTGTACAGAACGTACTAGTATGACGTTATATAGACAAGCCGAATGTTTTATACATATTCAGTGTCTGAAATTGTAAACCCTTACCATGCAATCAGTTGTTCAGTGTTCACAATAATCAATGCAATCGCAAAGACAGTTACATTTTGCACCAATAACTGCTACATAAGGTGAACACCAAGACCTAGATGTTGGCCATGGGAATGAGGTACGTAGATTGGCGACTAGAAGGTATATGAGTGTTCTAGATAGTATTACTCTGTGGGAAGCCCTGTTTGATTCTGGCAGTTACAGGAAGGGTGCTACCTTGTTGAATGACGTAAGGTAGTATTCGCACCAAAACACAACGTGGTTTCTCGGACGTGGTCACAGACGAAATCCCCGGCCAGTATTCTGGGCAAGAATATAACTAACAGATTCAGGCCAATTCAATATCAGGCTACCTTGGATGCATCAAACGCGTACACTGCTGTCTACTGTGGAACATTAAAGGCAATAGGGGGGCACGGGTGGCCCAGTCGTCTAAGGCACCGCGATTCGCTGTGCAGAGTTGCGTCCCTTGGGCACGTCAGAAACCTATGATTGTGGGTTCGAATCCCGGTTCGCCCCGATTATGTTTCTAGGTTTGTCAGCACCATACCCGTGCTCGTGGGTTTCACCGAAGTGGTAAACGTCTAAGACCTGCATCACTTCGAGCTTTCCTCCCACATTAAGCTGAAACGCCGCGATATAACTGGAATACTGTTAAAAGCGGCATTAAACCCAACTCACTCACTCACTAAAGGCAATAAATTGTCGTAATCGTTAACATTGAAGGCATTGGCAACCATCTTTGTACACGGGCTTGACTGATCGTTTTCGTCTCTCTGCAGCTCATGCAAGGCTGTTTTACCATCAATCTGAATGAGCATTTTGTTTATGATCTTATATTATCGTTAGCACACTGAATATGTCATTACGTCAGCTTACACCTAAATGAAATGCTCGTTTCTTTTGAGGTTTGGTGTCATGCATAAGTAATTGCACAGATATTTTTTTTATATATGTGTTTGAAACCGTCATGAGTGAGTGAGTGAGTGAGTGAGTTTGGTTTTACGCCGCTTTTAGCAATATCCAAGTAATATCACGGCGGGGGACACCAGAAATGGGCTTCACACATTGTACCCGTGTCGGGATTCGAACCCGTGTCTTCGGCGTGACGAGCGAACGCTTTCACCACTAGGCTACCCGACCGTCCCGAAACCGTCATGAGAAAGGTAATACGACAGGTAGTTTACATTGCCTGGAACAAACGACACAAACATTTGTTGTTTGGATTGTGCCTACCTTACAAGAAAAGCTTCATAGAAATGTTACGAGATCTAAATGAAGTGTCGCACATGTAAGGTCATAAGCCATACATTAAATATAAGTAGTCGTACTATTCTGTCAGTTGAGCTTTATGGTATAACGGTTTGAAAGGTTACTAGATTTCACCATGATCTACAATAAAATGAGCGTCTGCGTTGGGTTTTTACGCACCTTTGAAAAAATAGTTCTGTCACTAAACATGTATATCATCTGATCAAGCATCGTTTGTAATTGTTAGTTAATTTGTAAATTTTCCGTAATTTGCAAATACCTGTTAGCAGTTGACGATATGCAGATGAACGAACAATACAGTATCTATCTGTACAAGGAACCTTTAATCTTAATCCCATTTCTTTTTCCAATGGATGTGAACAGCAACGAAACTGGGCATGCGTTCTCCAAACAAAAATGTATCTTAATATAAGTATTCTTCAGAAAGTAAAGATAACTTACCCAAAATGACATTTTTGGACTTTTGGATAAATCACTGTACCAGATTTGCCGATTGTTTTTTTTTAAATATTATGTTATAAAAATGAGAAACAATTTGTTATCAGCATGTGATTAGGTTAATCATTCATCACGAAAACCAAGTGAACAGAGCATATTTACCATAGCTATATGATAACACTTTTGTGGTAAACGATGATAATACTTTCTTGGTAAACTCGCAAATGAAGAAAATACAAACATTAGTTTATACCTTTATAAACCCGAAAATACATGTATACCACACTCCCCAAAACATAATTATTTGCTGTACATGTATTTGTTTTACATTTAACAATCGCTTGAAGACATATAATGGGTCCTTTTAATTTGCTACATTTATGAAAGGCCTATCTGCTTCATATAATATTCTAGATAGTATTTCATAATCAAACAAGGTTATTGAGATCATTATTCCAGGTAATAGATTACTATTTGGGGTTCGAGTCCGTGACAATCTCTTGCTGAAGTAAACAACCAAATATTTACGATCTTTTGTCACTGCTACATTTTGGCCATTGATTTTTTTCCTGAAATCCTCCCTGTCGCCCCCTGTCTTAAAAATTAAAATGTTAGTTTGGGAAATATTTACTGATATATGCCAATCTCTGCAGTACGTCTCTGGAATACAACCGTTTATCAAACTCATCACATTAACCTTTGATAGGATTCAATCGGGTGACTGAGAGGGCCAGGGCAGGATCTGTTGTGTTTTCGTGTCACTGTGAGTCATGCTGTGTGGTCAGGCATCATCGTGCTGGAATACAGTGTTGGATTTCTGCATAATGTTTGTTTTATTTGTTTGTTGTTTATCGCCGCACTCAGCAATATTCTGCATAATGAGAGCGACCTGTCTTCAGTAATTAGGACAGGTAAGAAGACGGACATCAGACGTCAAAGTGAAGGAAATGTGTCGGCAGGAATGTGTGCTTGTATCACTTCTGATATGTTTGCACTTTCAAAACAAGGACAAGTCATGGAGGACAAAACACACCACAAACAGCGCATTTATCGATTATGCCTTATATTATTAATAACAGAGTCGATAACAAATGACAACATGACAATCATCACATACCAAATATTAGGCGAATCAAGCTATTATGTTTCGTCCTGGCTTCGACCGAACTGTTTGCATGGTTCTAAGCGTCCGCTGGCGTTTCTCTCTGCTTCACGACGTCAGGGCTTTAGTTGAAGGTTGTAGAATATATACAGATAATGAGATAGATAAAGAAGACGGCTGTTTGATTGTGATTCATGATCACATCCTCGTGATACAATCGGAATCGTGCAATTAGTTCTGCCTTTGGTGGATATTTCTTATAAATAAGGAAAGGGTTCTACCACTGTGTCAGTCGCATAAACCCTCATT